AAAAGAAGCAAGGATTATCCTTTGTATCAAAAGTTGACTCCTAACATCCATCCTGTCCCTCCATCTTAGTACCAAAAGGCCATTTTTAGCTGGGTATGTTGCCATCTGAAAAAAAAAAAAAAAAGTCCAAGTCTCCTTTATAAATGGCCATGTGCCTAAAGTGTGGCCAGTGAGGGCTAAACAGAGGCCCTGGGATAGTCTTTGAAAAGATTGCTAAGAGGAAGCTGACTCGACTTAGAACAGCCCCCTCTCAGTCTCTCCTCCTTCAGGCCCCTGGAAAACTTGCACTCCTACTCTGCATGCGCTGGAAAGTCTGGTAAACCTTGAGAGAAGAGACCTGATCTTATATCTTTTAAAGATTCTTCCACCAAGTGCAGAACAAACTGCAGGAGGGCCAAGGTACAAAGCTCAGAGACTGTTTAGAAGACTGGTCCATTGAGAAGAGGTCAGTGTAGACGCAAGGTAGAACTGACCTTTACCGATTCAGAGGGTACAGAATGACTCCAAGGTTTCTGACCTGAGCAACTGAGATGAAGGTGCTCTTTATTAAATCAGAAAACACTAACATAGGTCAATTAATACATTTAACTCTTAATTCCTGAGCATAGATGAGCTATACATGGTATAAACCCCCAATACTGGAAGACAGCAACAGCCCCCTAGGTACAACTGATTTATCTTTTATCGCTTTCTACTTTCCTTTCTTCTCTTAATAGTGACAATCAGGAATTTCTATACATGGAAAATATAAGACAGCACTCTTTTTTTTATTTAAAATGATCACTTGTAAGCACCAAGTTATAAAACTGTATGGTTTTCCCTTTTATCTACCACCAGGAGAGCTATTAATATCTATGACTTAAAGCAAACACTGAAGTAAGATTTTACCTGGTTTCTCCGGGGATTTACACCACAGTGCCTGATGAGTATGAAATGTTCGTAAAACATCCTTCTTCCCAGGTAGAACCTTATAGGACCCCAAATTGCTAAGTAAAGGACATGAACAGCCAGTCACCACTGTTTTTAGAAGGTTCGCCATGATGACAGGAGCTTCCAACTTTCTGAATCCTCAAGGCAAACACTAAGAGGAAAAGAAAAGGATTATGTACCAAGGAAAACAATACTTTTTTTTTAACATAAAGAAACATAAGTTACTAATATAATGAGCTTGGAATATAATGGTTATATGAAGACATCTTTAAAGAATTTATTTGCCTAATTCTTTTACTTCAAGAAGATGTTTCAAAATGTCTTTCCAATTCAGATATTTAAAATTTGAAATCCATTTTCCCACTAAGCTGGAATTACAAACTCACTATTCAATCCCAAACCAATCACACAAGTGTATCTGATCTTTAATGTAGCCAGAGAATTTAAAGACACTGTATCAAGTCATATCTTCTGTGCAAGTTACCTTCTAAGTCAACAATGTGCAGCAAAAATTGCATATAATCAAAGTTACCTATGAATTTCCCTCAAATTACCTAAAATACTGTACAGTTGTTACTTACACTCAGCTACCAGGTTGTTAAAAAAAAAAAAAAAATACTGCCATCCAGTGTAGCTAGATGCACAGTCAATGAGATTCCCTGAACTAAGACTGACAGTCAACAAGAAACTCTTATTTGCCAAGCACACTTCTCAGTAAAATTAAACATGTATGGGATATGGCTCCAGGAAAAAGAAAGAAAATTCCATGCCATCTTTACCACATAGACTTATGCTTGCAGATATGGGAATAAAGTATTTTTGTTAGTGGTTGTCAAAAGTGGCCACTTTTTGCCAGTTCTAACCAGGCTGAGTAAAACATCACTGGCCTTTGCTGTTACTAAAGCTCCTTTGGCTACCTCTGTTGCCCTCCTTGACAGATTCCCAGGGATGCATGGAGGACACTCATACCATCCTGACACTCGTAATGTTCCTCCACCTTTCTCTTCTTTCCTTCAAGAAAGGAAAGAAGCAAAGAACCTAGGACTCTATCAGTCAAACTTGCCTAAATCCATTCATTCTGTCTGTAGGTTCTGATCTATTTGATGGGCAGTCACAGGGCCAAGCACCAGATCTCAACAGACTCCATGAATACTCTTCCTGACCAGAGGAAGAGATATTTAATTCATTTTTTTTTAATTACAAAACTGCTGCCATAATTCCCTGGTATTTTTTAAAATACCAGAAAGAAACATTGATAGTGGAAATTCTCAGTGCATCCAGTGCTTATACATAAGATGCCCTTTAATTCAACAAACATGTGCCTCAGTCTGCTTATCTATTAAAAAAAACCTTAGGAGAGCAGTTTGTAGGGCCCTTTTATGCTTTAAATATTTTATGATTAGATAAGATTTTGCAATGTTTTAAAGTTGAAGTCCTAGTTCCTCACCTGTTACTCCAGAGGTTTTGCCCTTAGGAGTACTTATAGAATCAAAATGGAATGGGTCAGCCACTTGAGATAAGAAAAGTCAACAAGTAATAACACTACAAGGCAAAGTAGTAATACATGTTCAAAGTTCTTTGATGGATCAAAGAAGGTGATCATGTCCTCTTAGACGACTCAGAAAAGAAAGGGAAAGAGCTAGAGGAAAAAAGCAAATAAAGAGGGAGCATAAAGTATGTTTAGGCACACAATTAAAAATGTATATGAATAATCTTTTGCATGAGAACAGATAGTTTTACATTTACAGGGTTTTCCCACATAGGTCATTTCATTTCAATCTCAAAGAATTCCCAACTCCCATAAATATTCTCCCCATTCATTCATGGGTCATACATTGGGTTATTTGTGGCTGAGAATGCAAGCAAATGAATTCAAAATTCAGCCACCCATTCAAAAAAAATTCAAAAAAGCTATGCCAAGAATTGATGGAGATACAAAGACATGAAAGATAATTCTTGTTTTGAGGTAGATTTTTTTCCTATCCTTACTGCATGACCAACCTCAACCTATCCCAATCTCCCCACTTAGAGTTTCTCCTCTTGGATCAGTCCAGTTCCCCAACAACCACCATTCTCACAAATTGACAAAGTTCACCCAGACTTCAAATGAATGAAGCTTCCTCTAACAGAGCCCCATAAGGTCCAAGTTTGCCACTCCCTGGTTATTTGATCTAAACTTCTCTTAGCCTCCCTCTGCTTACCTAGTTACAAAGAAAAAAAAAAAGAAAAAAAGCATAAAAGGCTCAAGTTTTTAGGGCCTTTTTAGGTTCTAGAAGTCTTATGATAAGATTTCTCAGTATTTTAAAATGGAAATCCTACTTCATGGCCTGGAGTCTGGAAATTTTGTCTTGCCTATTTGAAAAATAACAATGTGATGTTGAGCAGTTCTTTGGCAGTGGCATGAGACATCAGTAAAATCAAGACCTTGGAAGGCCAACTTCTCCAAAAAACAAACAAAAAAAAATGTTCACATAATTCAAGTTAAAACTATACAGAGCAGAGATCAGGAAGTACTTTATTATTGAGAGCAGTCCATATCAGTAAACTTAAATTAAATACAGATAAATCTTAAAGATATTCAGAGAATATCTGAACCACCTCAACACTGGCTGGGACCTGTTTATTCCAAACATTGCACTCCATTTTAATGATCACATTTCCCCCATCTGCACTCTAAAGTTCTCTGTTTTTCTGGCTTTGAGGCAATAAAAAGACAATTTTACACTTTCACAAATCAAAACTGAAAAAAAAAAAACAGAACTTTTTTTTCTGTATGGCATTCATGTGGTCATTTCATGTAAATTATTTGGGTAACTATCTCCCCTGAAAGATTTTAATCATTGAGAGTACACAGCCAACCCAGCAGAGGTAACATAGTTAAGGGTGAACTGTATGAGATTGGCAAGTCACTTTACTGAATGTACCTGAGTTCCTCATCTTTAAAATGGGAAGAATCATAACACCTACCTCACAGGATTGTGGAGAGGATTAAAGGAACACAATATCCTGATTAGCTCTTATATTCACTTTGCTATTACTTGTGGCCCAGTGAAAGTCAATAAGTTTTTGTTGTTTTGTTTTTTGCAGTATTGGGAATGGAACCCAGGGCCTCCTGAACATGCTGGGAAAGTGCTGTACCATTGAGCTACATTCCTAATCTTTTGATAGTTATTTTTTGATGGAATAACTAGGGCTAGTTATACTGAAGCCTGGTACCTATAAACACATTCTCCAAGCAGTTTCAGTAATTTCCTTTGAAAATTAAATGTCTGTGTAGCTTTGTAGAAAATAAATATTATCAGCAAAGTTTAAGCCACCCTCAGCCTTCCAATAACTTTTTATCTCAAACTGTCCTTTCAAAATTAAAAAAAAAAAAAACAAGCTTTGCAAAGAGGGGGACATTTTAAATAAGAGAAAGTAGGCACATGAGCCCCATCCCCCCCTCTCTTAATAGTCTAGGCTACAACACTCCAGACAAGAGTCCTCTTAAGGACTGCAGGCACCACAGGGCGAATAAAGGACACCTGCAACTGTAAACAAGTCATGCTTTTAAAAGTGAGACATACCAGCAAGGGCACAATACCCAGGCAAGCTTAGCCCGACGGGCAGCGTGACCTCGCCCAAAGTCACCAGTGCCTCAGCCACTGACATCAGTGCACTCCTCCCTCCGCAATAAACTGCCACCCTCCAGCAACTGCACTGGACCGTTATTTATAACCTCCCCCATAGCCCACTGGCCCAAGCTGCAGAACAATCATTCTGCTCTCAAGTTTGAACCAGCTTTATCCAAGTTGCCCCCTCAGCCATCTCTACTCCCTCGCCACTCCAAGTCCCTCTTGGCCTCACAGAAGCTTGCACCCACCACCACCAATCCGCCCTGACATTGTCACAACTTCTGCTGGTAACTCCTATGTCCCCAGTCGGGTACTCTCCCTGAACTCCCTCAAGATTCAAGCACAATTATGGGGCTCCCAGCTGCCTGGGTGCACCCCCATCAAAAGTCCTCGGTGACCTCTCTCTTCACCTCCCCCCCACCCCCCAACCCATCCCCCGTGCCGCTTGGGACCGAAATGACCCTCTCAGACTATCGCAGTTCTCCAAAGCTCCAAGATCTGCACCTGCACAGCTGCCGAGGCTCCCTGCCTTTCGAGGACCTGAACCCGAATCCGACCGCCCACTCCTTTCCAGCTGCTCCAGGAAGACTCGAGAAAGGAGGCCCTCAAGGCACGGTTCTCCTCCGCCACCAAGTCCCAGGCCTGCGGGCTCACCCTGTTTCTGGGGCACTGCCGACCCCGCCCCCTTCTGCTCCTTGACAGGTCTCCTTCCTCGCCCGGGCCTGGGTGGTCTGGGCAGCCGCGCCCCTGCCCCAGCTGCGCCTTGAGCGCGCGCCCAGGCAGCTCTCTTTTGCCAGCGCTGCCACGCTCACCTGGGCCCGGAGCCTGGGCGGCCGCCGGCTGCACGCCACTGGGTGTGAGGGAACGCCGCGCTGGCAGACCCGGGCTTCGGCCCGGGAGCTGTGCCTCCAACCCGGAAGAACAGCCCCAACCCCGCCGCCGCGGCGACCGCCACGTGACTGCAGCGCTACCCACTCTCGGGCCCGGCGCCCCCTCCCCACTCCCTTTCTGGGCGCTGGTCTTCTTCCTGCCAGGTCCCCTCTTTCGGAATGCGAAAGATACCTCAAGAAAATGCCCCCTTTGAGCGCAAAAGCCGGTTACCCCCAAAGGGTCTCTCCACTCCAAGAGGCAGCCCAAACCTCTTTGTCTCGGCTGGACCCAGGAGACCCCAGCCCCGCCTCCGCGCCTTCCCTAGGCCCGTCCTTGTCAATCAAACCTGGTGCCAAACTCTGCCACCGAAGTTTTCAGGAATTCATTTGTCCTCTTCCCCCTAGAGAATCAGTTACAAAGTCTAAGAACAAGTAAGTGAATAATATAACTCCACTCTTGGTGCTTGTCTTTCTTTTAGCTCTCTAGGAAAAAAAAATCAGAACTTCAGTAACAGGAGAAGACCTTAGGGAAAAGGGGGGGAGGTGGAAGGCGGGAATAGGGGCGTTGTTTTTCCATTCTGGCGGGGAAGGTGGAGTTAAATTCTTAAGAAACGATGTCAAGGCCCGAAAATTAACACACATCTGCGTGTTTGTCTTCCAACATCAGAGCCAGCCTAGAAGTCGTCTTGCAATACTGTTAGATATCCAACGTCTGGAACGGAACGCAACCTCAGTGGACTTTTATTAACTTTACTAACCAGGCCTAAGCTACTTTCGGCAACATTATAAAAGAACTTCAAAACTAATGACTTGATCATTCTTTTCGAGTAATTCTGTTACTTATTCTGCAGATGTATTCAGGCTAAAAGTGGGAGAACAAAACATGGAGTGTAAAATGATCACTTACACAAAGTTGAATCATAAAGTCTCACCGTAAAGGTCACTTCTTTTTGTTTTTATTTTGTTTTGTTTTGTTTTGAAGTGTTTAAAAGTCATAAGACAAAACAGGTATTCCATATCTTCAAAAAGAAATGAACCACAGAGAATCACTTACTTTGAGAAAGTGCCTTGTGTTTAACCGGCACAAAAGGTCAATCAGTTAATGGACTCCCGCTGAGATCCAAAGTAAAACACTGTCCTGGTCCTGGAAGATTTCAAAGCCAGGAAAGAACACAGCCCTATGCTTTAAAATAATAATAAGCCATGAGAAGTGCAGCCACAGAACAGGTTCAAGATATTGCAGCTACAATAAAACAGGTGCAGTGGATAAGGATTTAAAACAGCTCTTGCCTTGGGGATGTTAGTCAAAATAAGAGTGCGTAAACAAGGTCTGGGATTGATCCAGCACAATCAATCAATCAATCAATCAATCAATCCTCTTAATATAAAACACAGTTTGTAGCAGTTAACGGTTCGGACAATTTTGTTCAAAGGAGAATTTGGCAACTTTTGGAGACAATTTGGTTGCTGCAGATACAGAGGGGAGGCTTCTAATGGTTGGAAGTGAAGGATGCTGCTAACCATTTCATATTTCACAGGGCAGGCCCTCGCAACAAAGAATTATCAGCCCCTAATGTTCAATATCTTATTTAATTTAATTTATGATTATATTACATAAGAACAAATTCAAAGATAATACACTGCTTATCAGTTTTGAAAATAGTGAAGAGTATGCATCTAACTTTAATAGTAAGCATGATTATTTGATTCTCTTCATTTGTATAACGTAAGTTGGACTCCATTGCTTCAGGTGAAAATATTGTCGTTTGGAAAGCTGCGTTTTAGGTCATAAGCTCTTACATATAATTATGCAAATTAATCCATAAAGGGGGGACTCCCAAAATTGGTTTAAGTTCCAGAAGTTTGCTTGGAAGTTGCTTCTGAATCTTATACGCTAATTTTAAAAATTTGTAAAGATTTCATATTCCCCATAAAGTAGTAATGACCCTACCTGTTTTGCTATCTGCTCTTTCCTCTTTGGCTATTTGGACCTCTGAATGTTCATCTTAGACTAGAACCAGTCACATATATGCAAGTTTTTATTACAGACTTTTGTTATTTGATATTTTAATTTTAACTATATTTTGAAATTCAGATAATTCTCAAAATTTAAACCTTGAAAATTTAGGAGACTTTGTAGCCATACAAGCTTAAAAAGAATATTCAATAGAGTTCTAATGTATCAGAAGTAAAAAGGATCTTTAGACAAGTGTAATTTTCCATTAGGATCTACTTTGAAGCCTGAAAATCATAAGTAAGCTCAATAGACAAAAATAAAAATGTAGACTGTGCCTGGGAAGATATGCTATCAAACACTGAACTCAAAGATGACTTGCTACAAAAACCCAGCATCTAGTTAAAACCAGGTCAGAGAATTGGTAGACTTGTATTATGTTTATTATGTTAAACAGTTGTCAGCAGTTTATTATTTCAAGCTTCACTTTTAACAGGACAACAATTATTAGCTCCAATGAGATAGGATTCTTATAATACAATAATGTCTACCACAGCATACACTTGACAGGTATTAAAGGAACCATTATCAGGGATGAGGGATAGGTCAGTGACATAGCCCTTGTCTAGTATGTGCTAGGTCCTGGGTTTATCTCCCTCACTACCAAAAGGGAGAGAGAGACAGAGAGAGGGTAGGGAAATAGAGAGGGAGATAAACATCTTTAATTCAATCTTAGCCCTTAGCTGTTTCTTAGGCAGGCCAACCAAGTATTTGATCTTAGAAAATAAATATTAACTGACTAAATGAACTAATGCTAATCAACATTAATTGGAAGAGGGTGAAGGAGAACTGACATTACACAGACAGAACAAGGTTAAATAATTGGCAATTTGTTTAAGCTATTTAAGTGAAACTAGAGTGTATTTGAATTTATCATGATCATCTGAAAAACTAACTCTTGCCAGTTGTGATGGTGTGGGTCTGTAGTCCCCTTTGGGGACCTGGGAAAATGGTAAGGGATAAGAACTATGTTAGTATCCTAGGGCTTCTGTAATTACTATGAGGGAGATCAAAAGAGACCCCTTCCTAAAATATACTTCTTTAGCATATTTCAAGATGGTTAATTAGAGGGGCTGCAGGCAGAGGAATGGCTCTGAAAGCTGTCCCTTGGTGGGGGGGTGGGCGATAGAGCAGATTTGAATCTGTAGAAGCATACAAAGGATGCAAACAGGCTTTCTCTGAGAGCCCTCTCCCCGATTTGCCAAGGAAAGATTTTTCACAAGAGAAAGGGGGGGGGGGGCTGACACTAGCCCACACAGAGATTACCCACAGGTAATCTTCTAATGACTGTTTGGGAGATCTGCCTAGCAAGACTTTTAGTCAGTGCATTTTCCTCCCACCCTTCTCTGACTTGCATCAATACCAGTACAAAATGTTACTTAAGCTTCAACTGTCTGACCTTTAAGAAATCTCATACCTTGGGTGGGGCTCTCACATTAATAAATTATATGCTTTTTCCTGTTAATCTATATTGCCAATTTATTTCATAGACTAAAATCATCAAAACTTTGGAAGAAAGATCGAAAATTGAAAGTTTCCCTACAACCACAATTTGCGGGACTTAAAATAACAGAAATGTTGCTCTCACAGTTATAGAAGCCAGAATTCAAAATCAAGGTTTCAATACAGTGTATTCCTTCTGAAAATGCTCAGGGAGAAACCTTCCTATGCCTCTCTCCTGGCTTGCAGCAGTTTTCAGCAATCTTTTGAATTCTTTGACATAAAGACACCTCTACTATCTGGTTGCCTTTTCACATTACCGCCTTCTGTGTACCTTCTCCAAATTTCGCTCTCCTTTCTCTAAAACAGTACCAGTCAGTGGACTTAACGACCATCCTAATGCCAGGATGGTTTAATATCATGATCCTTAACTAATTACAACTGCAAAGATTATATTTCCAAACAGGAGTGGATATGAATTTGGGTTGGGAAACAGTATTCAAACCACTACAGGGGCACTATGCGTTTAAAGGTATTACAATGTGCATTGTTGTTTGTTTGTTTTTGAAGATGGATGGACTTACCAATTCTTGAGTTTAAACAAAAAATTCAAATTATTTTGGGAAAATAAAAGGGAAAGTTATTGTGTATTAATAATTGAAAATATGTTCCTTAGTTACATACTATTTGCATTTTTTCTGGAGGGGTACTCAACCACTGAGCCACATCCCCAGACCTATTATGTATTTTTTTTATTTAGAGACAGGGTCTCATTGAGTTGCTTAGTGCCTCGCTATTTGCTGAGGCTGAGTTTGAACTCGTGATCCTCCTGTCTCAGCCTCCCTAGCTGCTGGAATTACAGGCGTGTGCCACCATACCCAGCTCTATTTGCAGTCTTTAAAAACAATCTAATTGAAAATTTCCGTCAATTTTTATATATTTTATTCTTTTTGGGGGGAGGGGGGTACAGGGGATTGAACTCAGGGACATTTAACACTGAGCCACATCCCCAGCCCTATTTTGTATTTTATTTAGAGACAGGGTCTCACCAAGTTGCTTAGCACCTTGCTTTTTCTGAGGTTGGTTTTGAACTTATGATACTCCTGCCTCAGCCTCCCCAAGCTTCTGGGATTACAGGCATGCTCCACCTCACCCAGAAATTTTTATATATTTTATTCTTATCATTATTATCACACTACTTGATTAAATATTATAAAATAGTTAACATTTTATAATATTTAACTTTTTAAAATGCATTTGATAATAACTCTAGATCAAATATTTTAACTGGTTTTGAAACATCATCACTTTGAAGGGCTTTTTTTAAGCTAGATTTTACCCATTTTACCCAAAGAAACAAATAAGAATCTCTCACTTATATTGGTTTCTGATGTACCATTCTGCTATACCCTCCTTCTTCTTGAACCAGCGTTCAGTTCTTTTACCACTTAAGTGTGCAAATGTTTCAAATGTTCCTTAACTCTGTCCTTTTAATTCTAATTCTTTCTCCCTGATAGCCCAATGTTGCCTGTGCTATAACAACTGCCAAAGCTCAATGTTCAGCCCAGACCTCACTCCTGAGCTGCAGACTATTTTGACCAACTGCCGACTGTTTTGGTCAACTATTTTGACCAACTGGTCATTGCCGATTGAGATTTCCATGTACATTTAAAGCCCAAAGAGAGAAAATTCCCTTCTGCTTTCTTCCTTCTAGCTCTAACAAAATGATTGCTGTTTCCTTGAAGATATGACACTTTTCTGTACTTCCCAGGCTTTTCTCATGCTTTTCCTCTCTGGAATATTTTTCCTGCCCTTTTTTTTTCGGTGTCAGCTCATTAAGTCTAGCTTCTATCTCGTCTGCATTCCAGAAAACCTTGTTCAACCCTTAATTCTCAAGCTTAGCACAGTTCTTAGCACATAGCAAATGCTAAATGAAAGTTAGCTAGATAAATAAGAAGCAGCTTCTATGAAAGAAAGAATAGAATACTGGCTCTGGGTAAGTATCTTTGGGAAAGTTATTTAACTATAAAAATATGGAGACAATTTCACAGGTTATTATGAAAGGGAGAATAAAATTGTAGAAGGAATATAGCTCAGAGTCCACTAAGTCCTAGATATGTACAATTATTAGGATATTGCATGTTGTGATTATTTATTTAGACCCTGTGAAAGATGCAAAAGCAATTCAATGAAGGAAAGAAAAACTTTTCAATAAATGGCATTAAAGCAACCAGATATCTGTAGGCAAAAACAAAAGTGAACCTCAAGCCAGGTGTGGAGGCTCATGCCTATAATCACAGTGGCTTGGGAAGCTGAAGTGTGAGGATTGCAAGTTCAAAACCAGGCACTTAGCAACTCAGTGAGACCGTGTCTAAATAAAATAAAATATTTAAAAAGGGCTGGTTATCTGTCGCAGTGGTTAAACCCCTCTTGGGTTCAATCCCCAGTACTACAAAAAAAAAAAAAGAACCTCAACCTAAGTCTCACAG